GGGCCCTAGGGTTTCAATAAAACCTCGTTTAAGTGTTGAAAGAAGCGTATTTATGAACGAGACTCTTTGGTGTGAATAAAAAGGAACTTTGTATTTTCTAATGTTGTGGGATTCAGGGGTGGGTGGGTGTTATGTCTAAACTTTAAATGTAACTGTACTATAAAACTGCTCGATCCGGAGCTGCTGAACCCCTAAACCCTAAATCCTAAAACCCTAAACCTTAGATTTCTTTCGCTGCCATTTGCGTAGGGATCTCTTGCAGCACAGCAGAGGTGCACTCGGAAGGCAGATGGAACGTCCTCTACCCCGACACTGCGTGCCAGGCAGCGGTTTAGGGTTTTAGGGTTTAGGGCCCAACGCTGTGTGCCAGGCATCTCCTGTGATTAGCTCAGACCTTCCAAGATCCCTTCAGAATACATACTGATTATTACAAGGTTCCTTTAAGGCTTCCTTTCAGGGACCTATCAAGGATCTCTAGGGTTATAGGGTCTAGGGTACCCAGACCTTCCAAAATACAAGAGTAGGAAACAGGGTACCCGTATTATTTAGGGGTCACTCAGGAACCTAGTTTAAAGGCCCACAAAGCGAAGCAGCCTGGAGGACAGCTTGCTTACTAAGAGCCAGCGCAGGTGGCCACCGACTTCCAGATTCGCTTGCGTGAAGATCCGACCATCAGGACGACCGCAAGTTGCGTGAGCCACGACCTCGAGGCAGACCATTTTCATGGTCGCTTGTGTTGTGATGATGACTATTGCTGGTACTCTTGTTATCAGGATTATCATTCCCCTTCTGATTCTCATCATTGTTTTGAACACAAGGTACTACTATACTGTTGTGATGCTGACTATTGCTGGTACTGTTGTTATCATTTTCTCATTCCCCTTCTGATTCTCATCACTGTTTTGAACATAAGGTACTACTATACTTTTGCCATCATCAGTTATTTTTCGAGAGTACCAGTGACGGTTACTATGAACTTGACTGATTGGTGAGAGGTGGAGTCTTCGTTTTCTGAGTCGGAAAGCCATCGGGTAGGGATTTAGGGGCTTTGGGGTTTAGGGCTTAGGGTTTAGGGTTTAGGGGGCATTTAGGGGTTGAGGGCTTCAGGGCTTAGAGTGGTGAGGCCCTTCTTAGATTCTTTGTGACACCGCTTGGAGTGCGTTGTTTCACCATCCCTCGCTGCAGGTTTGCGGCGTACCTTCCAGCCATGCTGTCCTCAATTATCACTGTCATCCTCATCCTCATCAGCATCAGCATCACCATCGTCATCATCAAAATCATCATCTCATCATCTCATCATCACCATTATCATCATCATCACCACGGTCATCAGTATACCTTGGTCATCAGGCTCAGCCTCATCCTCACCATACTTGTCATCACCAGTAGGAGCATCATCACGCTGGTAACCAGCTGCGTTTCACCGAAGAAGTGAAATCCCAAACTTTTAAGCCCCCCCCCAAAAAACCTAAACCCTCAACCCTAGGAGGCGCCTGGGTAGTTCTTTAAATTAGGATCCCTTTTGCGGATCCCAACATAGTGCGGCACCCTGATTAATCAGATTAAAAGAAGACCCTGACAGGGACCCAACTTGAAAGAACTACTCTTCTGTCAAACCTAAGACTGTCTGAAACCGTAGGGGCTGTGCCTGAACCATAGACTCCTTCTCAGCTCCAGAATTTCTCACAAAAGCCATAAACCTCCGGTAAACCCTGGCCCTAAACCCTCGACTTAAGGCTTAGGGGTTAGAGTTTAGGCTTTACCTGAGGTTAGGGCTGGGGAGAAGCCTGAAGCTGAGAAGGATCCTAAACCCCAAAGTGCTCGTTTGCCCAGGTGAGGGCCTCAGAAATTGAAGACTTCTCCACGAGGTGCAAGCAATGGCTGGAGGATGAGCAAGATGCAATTCGGAACGAAGAGGAGGACCTGGAGTGATTAGGGTCTGCGGTGAGGGCCTTCGGAGTTGCATCCACAGAAAGCTTCTCTTAGAAAGTCGGTTGCTAGGTGAGATTTCAAGCCCACCCTGCATGTTGAAGCAGTGCAGGTTGCTAAACCCTAAACTCTAAACCCTAATAGGGCGAACAGCTTTTTACTTCGGCGCTGGCGAGGCGACCACGGGGCCATGAGCAACCCCCCTCACACTTACAAAGCCAGACTTTCAATTAAGCTTGCGCCGCTGGGTTTAGGGTTTAGGGTACCGTCTAGCCTAGACAGCGAGAATTCCCGAATGTGAAGTCTACCCTTAGACAGAGGAGGCATGGCGCAGGGCGAGCTTACGGCAGCAGAAAGTGAGAGCAGACCAACGCCAGGCATTTGTGTTTTGGACAGTGAGCCTCGGACACTGGGCAGCCATGGTGGTTGTGCAAAACGCACAGGATTTGACACAAACCCTCCTGGCTTACAACGAACCCGAATATCGAAGTTTTGGGGAGGCGTGCCAGGTTGCTGCAGCTGCACTTGGTAGTTTCGCGCTGTTTTTCTGCATCTCATGTACGGACCGGTTTATCCCATCATGGCGGGCGGAGCTATCTGCTGCTTTGGTTGTGCATCATTCATATTCTATTGTGGATGCACTGCTGCTTTTATTCATTTTCAAGCTGACCTGCTGGCGGTCTGCGCAACTGGAGTCACGGTTGGATGGATCACGCGTCAGCTGCACTCCCGGTACTTGGCAGCCCTCGTTGCAATCATCTTCTGCAGCTACATAGCGGTAAGATCGATTATTCGTCCATCGTTCGAATTCCGACCTTTCTGGGATGTGTTCCGGGATTCTGCAGTTGCCCTTGGCATCTCAGTGCTATTCTTCTTCATCTCATGGAGCGAGCTCGGCAGCACCCGCACAGGATTCATGGCATTGTATTTTCTTTCAGGCCTTGTGGCGTTGGGGAGCTTGGTGGCCTACTATGCGGGTGTGGCAGTTCCGTTATCTTTTGGGTTCAGCCCTTCAATCGGCACCTTCACGCGCTGGCTTCTTTTCCGTGGAGGTGTGCGTGAGGGGTTGGAAGAAATGACTGAGCACAATACCCTCAACAAGACCATCACGTTCGAGGGTACTGTGAGTCACGAGCCCATCTGCTGCCTTTAGGGGTTTACGCATGTGCGACGCAGTATAAGAGCATCATGCAGAAGGATCGAGCCATGCCATATAATGATAGCGTGATCTCAGGTCTCCGGTAGAAACCGGTCTCGTGTTGAACGGAAACTGCGTGCTCCTGAGGCCTGGCAAAGCCTGTGTGGTTTCCTGGCCTGGGAAATATGCAACAGCCTGGGATCACATGGTAGCCAGCGCCCGGGCTGGCCAGACAAGCGCGGCAGTGGTGTTCTTGCCAGAGGGCACCAAGAACTTTGGGAAGCACAGCCGCATTCCCACACGCGAAGGGTTGGACGGCCGCTGCTGGTGTGAGCCTCTGTATGGAGAGAAGAAGCCATGGGGTTGCCGCTGGTGGGCCTTGTGGATACAGAACGTGGAAGCTGCGGTTAAGCACCGTGCGGAACTCCAGGTCTACTTCTTTGCAGGAGCCTGCGGAAAGGGCAAGGTGGGAAGCTTTGAGACGGCGGGCCAAGAAAACCTGCGCAGAGAGGCACTGCTTAAAAAGATGCGTGACTTCGAAGACACCGACAGCTTCCGAGACGCCGAGGAGGCGGGCCTCAACAAGCTAAGCCGACTGGAGCGCTATGACTCATCGTCGCAATACAGCCGTGAGAAGTACCGCTTGTTTCTGCAGTGGCTTCCAGATTCTGAGCGGCAGTTTCTGCAGGATTCAGAAGGCTTGGGGAATTCACAGAAAGCGGAGGTGGCGTGGCTTGAGAAGAAAGGCTACAGGTACACTTCAGTGGACATCTCCCGATGGTTAAAACAGCCACGGGAGTTACCGGAAGACCGGGAGCATCGTTGGGCCTGGAAGCCTGAGCCCAACTCCCTCGTCGGCCACCCTGTAGTATGCAATGAGCTCCCATCGCCATAGCCCACTTAACCATCACGGTAGAGCCCCTCGTGATGATAAGTCCCCCAAATGCTACGGCAGTCTTACTGAAAGGACCCTAGAAGGAGCCCCTAATTTAGAGAACTGTCCATAGCAGTGGTTCGGAACACTTCGTAACTGCACTCCTGCCGTTGGCCAAGCCATGGTCTTGGACACTCAGTTGTTGGAACCCTGTCTGTTCCCGTGTGTTTGAATGCATGCGCCTTCGCCAGCCGATGTATATAGTATATTCACGAAACGCATGTCGCAGCAACCCGTCTCATCAACAGGATGCACAGCAGCATTTTTGTTGTTTTGCACGGCTCCCGCTGTCGAAGGCATCCTAGCAAGGGGCAGCCTAACAACCGCTCGGACAATGATTGGCTATGTATGATGCCAGTAAGTTACTAAGTTCTTGGCCAGGCATTACGACACCATCACCAATTCTTTCCTTAGTTGCATTCCTGCAGTCATTTATCACGGCACTGATTTGCATCATAGCCGGTCGACAGCGAGTTTCGGCTGTGTTTGGGCATTCCGCACGGTGGCGAAGCCATGCCGTCGACTCTGATTCATCCCCAAACCCTCAGGGGGCTGATAAGGTGGGATGAAAGAAGGTGGAGTAATCCCAAAATACGGGTTTATATATATATATATACACACACATTATATATATATACATACATACATAAGGGATCCTGAATCCTACCTACCTTCATCCCACCTTTGGAGGCCTCCAAAACGCTAGAAACCCAAGACCTCACCCCCAAAAGCCCGGCTCTTTCAAGTCGCAGACATGTTGAAGTCGACTTGGCAAAGTGCGAAACGAGACAAGTTGACAAGCCTAGTATAGAAGCCTTCATCAATAGGAGTTGCACCTGTCAGGGCTCCTCAGTACCTACCACAGAAACCCCCACCCAATTCCAATTACTAAGGCCCCTACATATAAGCCTTTGCAGGTGCATCTCTCGCTCTCTCGGTGAGTTTAGTAACTATTATGTCGCGAGACTGTCTCGGTATGTTTTGTTCTGTCATCAACGTTTCCTGATCCAAATCGATGGAAGTGGAAGATAAATCCTGTAAACCCTAAAGCTCTAAACATTGTCGAGCTCATGGCCCAAACCAGGCTCAACGGCCAGCAACTCACCGAAGATTGACTGAGCTTCGGGTCCCTCAGTACATCATCGTTGTAGTAATTTAATGTGACTTGGGGATTCCCTTTGACATCGTAGTTATAGCTTGCTTACACTATTCTATCCAGGACCAAGCTTTAGCTCTCAAGCTTAGAGCCCTCCAAGCTTAAGCGTCTCTCGCCCACAGCCTCAGCAAACAATCCTGACTCCGTCTAGTCAGATCTTGAAGCCTTGACATCCGCATTGGGGTAACTGTGCACGAGCTTCGCTACTTCGGCTTCGCTGCAGGTTCAGGGTTGTGGGCTCAGGTTTGGATTCGTGCCGGAAGCAGGCATCCGCCTTGTCCAAGCTGTCCTACGAAGCACGAGTCCGAGCCAGATCTCTTCACCTGTCCAGGGCCGCCCCCCCCCAGAGACGAATTGCTGATGGCGCAGTCTGCAGATCCCGTCTTCGTCTCTTGGCAGCATATGCGGCAAAGCTGCTGGCTTTAGGTTCAGGTATCGGGGCCGGGTCGCTGAAGCATTCAAAGATCTAAACCACACAGTCTTCAAGCTTGATGGCCATCCTTCCAATGTGTGAATTTCCTGATCCCGCCCTAAACCCCCAAAGCCTCTAACTAGGTTCCCGAGTAGTACTCTTTTGCCCTTTTTGTTTTGGGGTCTCCTTCTTGAAACCCAATAGTAGGAAAAGGGGTACCCTTATTATTTAGGGGTCACTCAGGAACCTAGCTAAACCCCAAGCCCCCGAAGCGCACTGGTCGGCTTGATGCTTAAGGGCGAGGCTCAGTTTAAGTACGGACTCTCCGATGCTTGCCAATACGATGCAGTTGAGGCGCTTGTTCTTATTTCGTTGTGACTAACCAGGGGATAGGGAAAGTGTCTCAGGGAAAAGCGTCTGTTTCCGAGGATGATATGGGTAGTTCTCTAAATTAGAGTCCTCATTGATTGTTTTATGGGGGCACCGTACTATGTTGGGGATGTAAAAAGGGCCCCTATATAGAGAACTACCTATATATTCATGACAAGATGCTTCTCTTTTGCTCTCGGTGGACTTGCAAGATTGTTCTCAGGAAGAAGACCTAAGAACGAGGAGAATAACGATAATACATATTAGCATCAAGTGATGATGATGATGATGGTGGTGGTGGTGGTGGTGATGATGATGATGGTTTGGACGATGGTGGTGATTATGACGATCACGATGACGATGATGATGGTTATTATGGTGGTGGTTGTGGCGATTATGATGATGGTGATGACGATGATGATCACGATGGCGATGATGGTGTGGTTATCACCATCATCATCATCATCAGCAGCAGCATGATCATCATCATCACCATCATCATCCGCATGACGGCGATGGCAACGATTCCGTCACCATCTCCCGAAACTCAACACCTCCGGGTCAAAGCAATCGTCCTTCAGAATAGCACATGGACAGGTATCTACTGGAAGATATATAGCCAATACAGCCCTGTATCCCAAATAACAGTCTAATCAAGCCCTGTAAATGTACGAAAAGAGCAAGCGACACAACCCGTTTTAAAACGAAGGGGAGGGTGCGAGCGCCATATAAACGTGTGCAACCCGCCAAACAACACCCCGATACAACCCTTGAAAGACATGCGCCAAAGCTTGTTGAGGAAGCGCTGGGTCTGTGCTCAAGCCAAATGCCAGAGCCCACCCAGGAGCTTCCTGTCGCTTGTTAGGCAGGATCGTATGTTCGGGTTTTCTTTGTCTTTAACTTGAAGGTTTTTCCTAAGGGCCTCAGGGCTGTTTGTAAGCTTTGGGGGCTTTAAAGTGGGATTCGCACATTTAACATGCAGGTGTTTTAAAGGGGTTCGGGATTTCTGGGGGTAAAGTTGCGGCAGGGGAGACTGGATGGAGAAAGGTGCCAAGACGTATCGTGGTTTCAGGCGTTTTGAAGGGGTACATGAGAGACACATACCGAGGTTGTACGCATCGAAGACATCTAGCATCTTTTGTGATGCAGGATGTGTCTGTTTAGGGTGACTGGATGGGTCATGTATTGGCTTGCGGTGGTAGCATGCCAACAACTGACTGGATTGTCTCGGCAAGTGGAGTGTTTGTGCCGATGGAGCAAGTTGGCATGTTGCTTGGATGCAGGCGCCAGGGCCCAAGGCATTCGACATGTATGTAGCACGGCAGCAGTGACCTCATAACTCTCTATCGGAAGCACAACGTGATAAACGCATGATCGAGGACATGAGCCATGCACCTGAGCCCAAACCGCCTCGGACTTAACATCCACAAGTCTTCGTCCCAATTCCCAAACCCAAAAGTGCGTAGTGCAAGAATGAGACCCTTACACCTCTCAGCCTTGAACGAAGATTGACAGAGCATGTATAAACCTGTAGAATCCGGCGGCTTTCTGGGACTGGAATAAACTGGAAGTTTTCCCCATACAGCGTGTGTGCTCCAAGGGCCTGGGGCTTGGCTTCAGAATAGCAACCCTTCTGGACCGATTGCAGCAACGCGTATAGTAAGAAGCTGGGGGTTAGATCCCTTATGTACCGCTTCACAGCAACCCTTCTGACCCTTTTAGAACCCTAGTGGGTCCAATAGAAATATGGGCCACCTAAACCCCCTAAACCCCAGACCCCCTAATACTGTTGATGATATACATCCTGCATTACCTTAAGGACCCTAAACTATGGGAGTCATGGTATATTCCTTATTCTGGGTATATAATGCAGGATTTATATCATCAACCGTATGGGTAGGGTTTGGGGATCCGATTAGCAGCTTCTCCCATGGGCGGGGCAGCAAGTGTCCCCGAGCCTGGCGAGCTACCCGAAACAGCGCGGAAGGCTTTTGGGCTTAGAATGAGGGTTTTGAGTTTAGGGTGAGGGTTAACCCTAAACCCTAAACCCCTAAACCGCTAAACCCCAAACCCTAAACCCGAAACCCTAAATAGTGTGATAGTTAGGGCTGGGATCCAGTCAGAGTTTCGTGGAGCGTGGGTGGGAGAAGTCTGTCGTCGCATAGATACTTGCCCAAAGGGTCCAAAGTACCTATATAGTAGAATGTAGGGTTTCTAGATTAGGAGTTTGTTATTATGACCTGGGAAAGTATCCCCCATAACAGTACCTAGGACACTTTGGGTTGGTGGTTGTTGCCACATCCCATTTTAGGGTTGTGGCTTAGTGAGGTGTTAGGTCATGACAAGGGAACTTGCTATAGGGCTTTGCAGTATGTTGCACTGTAGTTATAATAAGGAGCCACCAACATAGTATTGGTAAATATTAAGGCCCCTATACTACTTTGATTGTATCAGGGGGCCCAATATCAGTCATTCGGGTCCTTCCATGAGGAGCTGTGATGGCCTTCCCGGCTCTACTCTGTGAGTCTTCGAAGCAGCTTTCCCATCTCACAGAGTTTAGGGGTTTAGGGTTTATGAGTTTAGGGGTTTAGGGTTTAGGGGTGTAGGGTTGAGGAGTTTAGGGGTTTCGGGGTTTAGAGTTTCGGGTTTTACGTTTGGGGTTTAGGGTTTCAATGATGGAGGGTTGCTTGACTCTGTGAGGCCGTGCTTGGCTCAGCCACGCCCGAGGCTGGAATGGGCTGCCGCATCTTAAACCCTAGAGCTCCAGTTACCTATATAGTAGGTTACCAGCCATATAATCTGAAGCCCATAAACCCATTATTTAGGTAACTGGAGCCCTAGGGAAAGCTTGCATTTGAACAGAGGGGTGGACAAACTATAGGGATTTGGTGGGTTTGAGGTGATGGAAATCACGCTAAACATTGCTGTAAGCCATTGTAAACCCTATACCCTAAAGCCTAAAGCTTAAGCCCTAAAGCTTAAAGCCCTAAACCCTAGCCTCTTGAGCCCCAGGACCACTCAGAA